GAAGTGCATGCAATGAAGACATTAAGTCGGTTATCTTGAACGTATGAACGCTTGATTAGGGAATTGAGAAAAAAAAGGAGAGTAAAAGACTGAATTTCCAGTGAGGTTGGGGAAGAAGAGTTTAAGCTTTTGTTTTGTTATAAATATGTCATTATGACGGAGAATACGTATTTGTATTCGGAAAATAAACATGAAAGGGATATTAAACTGCAGTTTGGGCGAGAGAAAAGATATCTCATTTATTTGATATTTATTTCTTGAAAACCTATTTCCTTCCAGATCTCAGGACTAAACCTAAATATATAAACTTTGATACATGTGGAAATATAAGAAATATATACCTCCAATGGTTTGAAATAAATGCTATACAAATTTAATATCTTGATATCTAAGCCTAAGCCTAAGTCAATGTTCGATTATTTAAATATATTTTAACTTCTCTTTTGATTATTCAAATTGTTGACCTTCTATGAAGTAGGTTCAGAAGGAATGGACTAACATTGTCCACTTCGTGTCGGAACGGAAAATAAATATTATATACATATTGCGAAGTGCCAGGTTTGGATTATATTGGTAACCTCCTTTACTTCATATGAGATACATGATAATTTTTAGAAAATGTTAAAATGGTCGACCGAACTATTCCGTTTTCATACTTCAACTAATACAGATAAAAAATATTGATATGGGCAAAATAAGAAGAAAACTGAACTTATGCGAAATCATAAATTTCATATTCATCTCAGGTCTTGGGTTGAGAGATATATTTAGATATAGGAAGTTATAAAGAATAGCTGTTTCTCAAGCTATGACATATACAATTTGCAAAATTTTGACCCTTTGTAGGGTGAGGTAACAGAAGGGGTTCGCAGATTTATATCATCTTCACACCAGTTAGCAAAAATATTTTTTTATGAGTGAAATTTGAAGAGAGTTGGATGCTTATCTCGCTTTCTTTGAGACTTTTGTCTATCAAAAGCTTGAACCCTATGTGGGGGATGTACAAGGAGAAATGGTCCGATCTCTACCATATTTATAACAGATCTTGCGTTGATGGAAATATTGAGATGTACTAAGTCTGAATGGAGTGAGGTATTAATTTCGCGTTTTAAGAGATGCATGGATATTCAAAATTGTGAGCCTTTTGTAGGGGATGTACGAAAAGGAGTGGACCGATATATCCCATCTTCACAACAGATCTTGTGTTAGTAGAAATTATGGGATATGTGAAATATAAAGAGAAACTAATGCTTATTTCGGAATTTATAAACGCTTCGGTTATTAAAAACTTTGAACCTTTGTGGGGGAGATACCAGAAAGAAGGTACCATCTTTATAACAGATCTTGTGTTGATGGAAATACTGAGATGTGCAAAGTCTAAATGGAATCGGATGTCATAAATATTAAAAATTTCGACCTTTTGTGGTGGAGGTACCAGAAGGAGTGGACCGAGATATTCCATCATCAGATCTTGGGTTAATAAAAATATTGGGTTGTGTGAAATTTGAAGACAATCGGACTCTTTTTTCACATTTAATAAGAGAAGTAATTATTCCAAATTTTGACCCTTTGTGGGGGAGGTACCAGAGGGAGTGGACCGAGATATTCCATCTTAACACCAGATCTTGGGTTATTATAAATATTGGGCTGTGTGAAATTTGAAGACAATCGGACTCTTACTTCACATTTTATAAGAGTTGTAATTATTTACAAAATTTTGACCCTTTGTGGAGTGGACCGATATTGTCCATTTTCGCACCTGACCTAGAACTGACGCAAATATTAGAATTTGTAAAGTTGGAGCAACATCAGATTATTCTTTCTTTTTCTGTGCAGGAATTATTTTTTTTGAAAATTTCTATCTTTTGCGGGGGAGGTACCAGAAGGAGTGAACCGATATTGCCCATCTCCGAACTCAATCTAAGTTTGACAAAAAATAAATTGTGATGTACCAAGTTTGGACAAAATCGTATACTCCCTTCGAGAGTTATCGTGCGCACTAGCCAGACAGATGGACGGAAAGACGGACGGACATTTCTAGATCGACTCGAAATGTCCTGAAACGGATTTGGTCCAAAGAGACCTAGTATACAAAACTGTAATTTCGACTAGGCACGTTTTGGCCGTATCAAATGATATATACCTTTTGTCGCCATATGGCTGGGGGTATAAAAATGTAAAAATTATGGCGTTTGACTTTGTTGCAGTTTTTTTATCTCACCCTGTACATTAGATCTTTGATTGATAGAAATATTGAGATACACTTGATTTGAAGAAAATAGCTTATTAACTAATTTATTTTTTTTTTTTTTTTTTTTTTGCTAAAAGAATTATAATTATTCAAAAATTTTACCATTTGTGGGGTGGGGAAGGTACCAGAAGGAAAGGACCAATAAGTTCCATATGCACGCTAGGTCGAAACAAGATGCGAAGTTAAAAGAAGCATCGAATACTTATTTTGCATTTTATCATTTTGATCCTTTGTGGGTGAAGAACTTGATGGAAAAGAGGTGGACCAGATCTTATTTTAATGCAAATATTGGGAATTCTGAAATTTGAAGAGAATCGAATGCTTATTTCGTGTTTTAAGAGAGATAAAAATATTAAAACATTTGACCCGTTGTGGGAACCTGAATTATTGGTACGATATATCCCATCACCGCATCATCTGTCCGTCTGCCGTCTGTTGTAATCACGTTGGAGTCAAAACAAATAAGGATAGGAAGATAAAATGTTAGAAATTTTAGAAGTTCTTTGTAAGCACTTTACGCCCTGGAAAAGAAATGTCAATATAGGTCCACGATATCGTATGGCCCACATACAGCGGTACTCCCCGATATTCGATATTTTGACGATTTTAGGCATATTATTCACCGTGGCTGTTTCAAATTTTGTGTTTAGAATTCGTATTGGAAATAATTGCATATGCAGACTCACGCCTTCGTTTGGCCTCCATATAACCGTACCTCCCAATATTCGGTATTTTGATGGAACTTCAGTCTATGCCAGAAAATTGTCAACGCTGGTCCAGGTCTTTGTATGGGCCTAATATATCAGTACCTCCCTATATTCGGTATTTTGACGATTTTAGGTGCAATATTCACCGAAATTGTTTGAAATTCCGAATTTGAAGTTCCCAATAGGTACAAAAGCCTGTGACATAAAATTGTCTATCCATAGTTCTGGTCTTCGTATAGCCCCGATATAACGGTATCTCCCTATATTTGGCATTTTGACTTGATTTTAGTTACTTTTTTAACGAATTTTTTTTCATACTTCGTATTTGAATTAATATTGTCTATGCAGGCCAACGTCTTCATATAGACACCAATATAACGGCTATATTCGGTATTTTTAAGAATTTAACGGATTTTATTATTGTTATTTATTTTTGGAAATTTTCCAAATTCTTTCCAAATGGTGGAGGGTATTCAAAGATCGGTCTCAGGTATTTAAAGTTCGGCCCGGCATTTAGAAGTTCTGGTCAAAAAATATACACCCAAAATTAACCTTAATATTCCTCACGAACATGATATGCCAAATCCTCCATTGGTACCAAAATTGGTCCATAAATATTTAAAAGAGGAAGGGGTTTGTATAGATGTGATTTTGCAAAATGCCAGGTATTTTATAATTCCATGGGAAAATTTTTGGAAACCTTTTTATACCCTAGAACACTATGTATTGGGGGTAATATAAGTTTGATTGGGCCAAAGATTATATAACACCTCGAAATAGTGGTTTCCCACATAGGAAAGTATATATGGATCTTCCAATCTCGTCGAGCTGAGTCGATCTAGCTATGTATGTCCGTCTGTCCATGTTAATTTGTAATCACTCTACAGGTCGTAATTATGCCCCGATCTTCACTGGAGGTGGAAAATGAACAAAAAAATTTTATGATTTTGCAGTTGCTCTACAGGACGCAATTATAGACCAATCGACGCGGAAGTTAGCATGGGGCTGGAGCTTAGGGCTAGGCAGAAGCCTTTCAATTTTGATGGTCATCGGGTAATATTTAGTGGGTGAAATAGGCCACAACATTTGTGTTAAATAAAAGTCAAATTTGCCATTAAGTTGCGAATATTTTTTATCCCGGCGAAATCACAAATAGACGAACAGGTCAATCCTGACCGTTACGTAGATGCTGATAGTAAATATATCGGTCTGAATTTGGAGATACAGAGGGGCATCTTGCTTTTGGAGATGATTGCAAAATATTTGTGCGTTCATAACCTTAAAACAGAATAAATTTCCTTATCACACAATTGAAGATAATCGACACCCCTAAAAAGAGAGAAAAGGGCAGGGAAGGTTTCTTTCATTTTGGATGACCATTGGATTATATTTAGTTGTAAAATGGACCACAACAACTAACAGTACGAAGGAGTGCGCAAATATTGGGCAAATGTCCTCAATCAAAATACTAAGGGTAATATCTGGACAGTGCTCCATAACATAATTTCAAACTAGAAATCTTCCAAAAGGGTTTTGGACATAAGGGGGCTTTTTACATATTGTAGTGTTGGAGGGTATTACATGGTCGGTCTCGCACGATTAAGCCATTGCTTACTTCTTTTGATTTTAAATTGACATTTCTCATATCACAAATTATTAAAGAACACAATTTCGTACTTAAAATCAACAATTAATTGGATGGTTACATATATATATATATATATATATATATATATATATATATATATATATATATATATATATATATATATATATATATATATATATATATATATATATCAGATATATGTTTATAACACACAATTAATTTGATTATATCATAAAACAATTATTATTTCGATCGAATATGTATGTAATAATAAAATCCAGACATTTGCGTCATAAGCCGGTCGCACAGAGTTTCGTATGAGTGTTGGTATGTGTGTGTACGCAGACAGGTGTGCGTATAAGCAACATTATTTCATCAAAAAAAAAAAAAAAAAAAAAAACAGGAAACGGAAATCGACGTTACGAATATTTACCCAGGTAATTAGAAAACACTGTTACACATATTTTTTTCAAGTTATTACAAAGGAGATATATATTTACTTTTTTTGTTTACTTTAATTAATTACTGTTATTAGGAGCTATTATTCTTTTATGTTTTATGGTAAAATTAATTTATTACTTTTTAACATTTTTTGCACTTAAGATAATGAATAATTTTTACCATTTTACTTTTTTCAAATTACTTAAAATATTTTTTTTTTTTTTATTTTTTACATATTATATTTAGGAATTTTATAAGTAATAATATTATTTTTTCTTATAACAATCACTTAAATATTTTTATTATTTATTTTTATTTTAACACCGGTTTATTTCCATTTTAGTTTCAATTATTTTTTTATTTTTTCTTAAATTAAACACTTTTTTAAAGCACATAATATGTATTTTTTTAAATTTTAGTTATATTTTACAATTATTTATATTTTTTCAATTTTTTTTTATTTGCATATCTTAGCCATTTTTCTAAATTTAGTAAAATTTTCATATATATACACTCTTTGTTAAAGGTAGAAAAAACTCAAAACAACTTCAAATTATTTCTTTCTTTTTTTCTAAACATCCTCTTCTTCTTCTTTTTCTTTTGGATGAATTTTGTAATTGTAATAAACCGTAATTCCCCTTAGCAGTGTGTGTTCCGTCACTAACGTATAAAAATTAACTAAAAGCAAAAAAACTTTACTTTGCCATTGTCGGCCGCATTTGGAGTCTGAGACAACAGCAACAGAGCTCTGTTAACTCAGCACAGCTTAGAACTTTATGTTAGCAACATCATCTCTGGCACAGACATTCGGTGTTAACATCAATGGAAAACTTTTGGCCAACCAAAATCCAAAACAGCCTAAAAGAACTTGCCTAAAGTTAAACCACAAAAAACAAGGATACAAAGCGCAAGTCCTTGTCGCACACCACAACCGGAAACAAAGACAAACTGTGCTACCACTGCATATTATTCGAAACATGAACTTTTGTGGATGTTGTTTTAACAGAGTTCTGCTCTTACTCTGGGAAACTCTCTTACTCTGGGAAACTCTCTTTCACTGAGATACTCTCTTTCTCTTTAGAGAAATGTTAACACATTTTGTGTGAAACAAATTAAAGAGAGTTCGAAAAGCTCCAAATGTAAATTAACATTTTAATGGTCCACCATCAAAAAACACACAAACATAAATAAATATATTTTTGTAACGGAAATAAACTATTAAGATTTATGTATTGCAATTTCCCCAAACAATTAACCGAGGCAGGAAAAGGTCAGTGCATTCGATGCGGTTTTTTGGGTATTTAGAAGCAATTGGATGTAGTTGGTTGTAAAAAACGACTTTTGTTAATAATAAATAACAAAGGCAGAACTATTATTTTCATTGGAAGAAGGGAGATATTTAAAAAAATCTAAATTTTAAAATACAAAATTACAAAAAAACCTATAAAGAAAGTCTTAAAGTCGGGCGAGACCGACTTTATGATACCCTCCACCACTTCGCTAATTTAGTAGAGCTCCGCATGAAAATTAAAAGTTTTTATGGAAGAATTCAATCACACACGCTATGATTGTAATTATAATTTAAAGTTCAAAGGACGAAATATGACGAAGCATTTGTATCCTTTAAATTCAGACTTGTATTGCCCATTTGGTGCAAAATTAATTTGAAATCGGATAAAGATATATATGGCAGCTATATCCAAATCGGAACCGATCTCGATAAAATTTGGCAAAGATATTACTGAGCTGTATTTGATATATTTCCCTGAATATCGTTGTTACGGAGTGCATATTAAGGCTGTGGGTAACAAATATAACAAATCGGATGAACAGTATATATGGGAGCTATAGCTATATCTGAACCGATCTTCACCAAATTTGACATACTAGCTTCTAGACTCAATTCGGTCATAAGTGCCAAATTCCATCCCATTTGGACAAATACTAGACGTTTGGTGCACAATAAAAGGTAAATCCGACGAAGTTATATATGGGAGCTATATCCAAATCTGAACCAATCTCGATAAAATTTAGCAAGTGTATTTTTGAGCTGTATTTCATATATTTCCCAAAATATTGTTGTTGCAGAGTGCATATTACGGCTGCGGAGGACAAAAGTAACAAATCGGATGAACCGATTTCGATCAAATTTGGCATACTTATTTTCAGGCCTTATTTGGTTGTATGTGCCAAATTCCATACTATTTGGGCAAATCGAACGGAGATGTATATATGGGAGCTATATCTAAAATTTTCAGATTATCTCCAATTTCAATAGGGTTCGTCCTTGGGCCAAACAAATGATTTGTACAAAATTTTATCTGGATGGGGTAATAAATGCGAACTGACTCAGAATGTGATGCTATGCAGATCATCAAAAGAAATTATGGGTCTATCTCGTTTCCTTTTGCCTATTACAAACAAATGCACAAAGACATAATACCCTGACCACCTTGAGGTGTAGGGTATAAACATTTAAATAAAAAATTAAAATAAAAACATAAAAAAGTAAAAAAAAGCCGTAATTTCAGCCGGGCCGAACTTTGAATACTCTCCACCATTTGGAACAAAGTTGGCAATTTTCAAAAAAAAAAAAAAAAAAATAATAATAAACCCGTTAAAAATTCTCTTAAAGTCTTAAAAATACCGAATTTAGCCATTATAAAAAAAAAAAATATTTTATTTGCAAAAAAATAAAAAAAAGGGTCAGTTAGCTAAAAGCATCAAATAATAAAAATCTAAAATTTGGCCAAAACCAAATAAATTCCAATAACAACAAGCAAAAAATCAAGCGGATTATGAAAGTAGAGCTACAAATAGAAGACATGTATGTCGGCGTTTTGAAAGTTTACATAGCTAAGTAACCAAAATAGACAGGGCAAGTTCCCTCCTCTTCCACACATTTTAGAATTTTGAGATTGAAATTTCGTGAAATTCTGTTAATTTTAGGGATTTAGAGTCTATAGCAGATAAAAAATCAAGTATTATTTTGATAAGAAATTATGACCCTCAAAAAATAGTCATGAAAGGGGCATTTTTGTTACTTAAAAATGGCTAAATACTTCCAGCAAGTCAAGATCCTAGAAAGTGGAGATATTCTTTAAAATTAGTCGGCGCAAACGCCTGGAGTTCATATATATTAAAATATTGTTGGTTTAAATCTGTAGTATATGTGAGTCTATGCCAGAATCTCCAAGACAGCATCATTTTAGAAGGATGACGTCAAAGAAAAAATGTCCTTCATCAAATTTTACTTTAAGTTACCAAAGAAAACTAACCTTTTAAGTCAAAAAAAAGAAAAAAAAAAAAAAAGACAATGTTCGCGTAGAACATTCCGAAAATATTTCCCAATTTTTTTGATTACTTTTTTCCGGATTTTTTTCAATTTGACTCCTAAAAATAACATATAATTTAGTTTTAAGCAAAAGGTGTCAAAGGAAGGGAAAATCTACATAAAGTTTCACTATACAGGGTGAGACAAAAAAGCTGCAACAAAGTCAAATGCCATAATTTTTATATTTCTTTTTAATTAATTGAATGAAAGCAACAAATGTCGGAAGCATCATCAAATTTTAGAATAAGTTTAGATTTATTCGAATTGCTCGCCCTTGGCACGAACGATGGCCTTCAAACGGCCAATGAAACCGCCAAACGCTGCCCGATTGTTGCTTTGCGGTATTTTGGCCCATTCCCGGCGAGGCGCATGCTTAAGGTGATCGACATTTTTTTTTAATGCCAACCTTGCATTCCAAAATACTCCAGACAAAATAGTCCAACGGATTGGTATCCAGAGATTTTGATGGCCATTGTGCGCTGGAAATGAAGCGAGCAACCTCGTTTTGTAACCATTCTTGGTTGGCGCGTGCTGAGTGCGATGTTGCTGAGTCCTGTTGGAATGTCCCATTGAGCCAAAAATAAGTTTCGAACCATTTTTTTTGGTAAAAAGTGAATCTGTTAAAAAATAGGTAAATAATAAATAGGTAATAAAATAAGAAAAATGGAAAATATTATGCCTTATATTTAAGGTATGTAATTCCTTTCTTAAATCTCTTGATATTTACACAGATTTTCCTTACTAATAACATTTAAATATACACAAATCTATATTCAAATTCTTAATGTCAAACAATAAAACTAAGCATTTACTTCCTGCTTAAAAAATTCCTCCGAAAGGAAACTCATAAAATCACACCAAAACTTTACCAAGCAACTTCCAAGTGTGAACTCACCACATTTAATTTCCTGGCAAAATATCAAAGGAAACCCCACAAAAAAATTAAATTAAACTTTCAACAAAACTTTACTTACAACTCAAAAATTAGCAAAACCGAATTTTTGTGACCCTGACAATAAAAGAAAACCCCAGAATGAAACGGAAAAATCGAAAGACTCATTGGCAACAACAAATGATACAAAGCAACTTTGGGAAACGAGTGACAAACAATTTATGACTTCGCAGGCGAAAGAAAAACATTTCCAAACAATAGCAGAAAAATAACCAACAGTGGTCAGATTCTCATCGTAAATTTAAATGGTCATTATCATCATCGTAGGGAAATGGAAGAGAAGAGGAGAGAAAATACGAGAGGGAGGAGTGATGGGGAGGAAAAGAAAACTAGAGGTCTTGGCTCAAGTCGCATAAAATTTCCAGCAACAGGTAGCTAGAACAGAAAAGGCTTCCTAGCTTTTATGTGAATTATTGTTGTTGTTGTTGCTAAAACAACTATTATGCACTGTTCCCCTGACACTCTCCCCTCCGAATGGGGATGATGACAAAGTAACAGCTATTCGAGAATATTATTATGACCATGTTAATATTATTGCTGTTATTTTGGCTTGTTAGCTCTACTAAGAGAAATTGTAGCAAATAATTGTATTGCCTCTACAGCAAGTGTGTATGTATGTGTGTGTGTCTGTGTTTGTGAGGAAAATCACACTAGCTGTGCAAAACATTGAGATCATAAAAACCTATAACACTAATTTCACAAAAGAAGGGAGAACTGTGTTGTGGTGCCTTCAATACAGAGGCCTGCTGACTGTGACCCATTGAGTAATGGAGATGAGGAATTTTTTTTTTTTTTTTTTTTTTTTTTTTTGAAATATTGATATGGTCATGGTCATGGCCACTATAGGCAAAATCACGTATGAGAAAAATACAGAAGAGCGGCTATGAGTGATATTTTTAGTGGCAACAAATTTTGAATGTAGGTCAATACTTATTATTGTTTAGAAAATAAATTACTTTAAAGAAATATTGATGGATTTAAAAATATTTATTAAAGAGCTTACGGAGCTCCAATTGTAGATTTTCATAAATAATTACTTAAGGAGTACCAAGGCTAAATTTGTGGATTTTGAAATAATATTTTTTTTCAAAAACATGAGAGCCGTACTTTAGAATTTTATGATAGAAGATTTAACCGTAATTTTTTAAAGGGACAATAGATCTATAATTGTGATTTATTTAACGTTTTTTTTTTTTTTTTCAAAGACCAAAAATATTTTTTTTTCGCAAAACCCAGAGAAATATATACAAAAAGTCCTGGATTTATATTTTAAAAATATCAAACGGGCCAGAACAATATTTCATTAAGGTCCACATGAAAATAATTCTAATCGCGGATTTAATAATGAAACTTTTTCAAAGAACAACAGAGTTACAAACTTGGCTCTTTTGAAAGAATATTTTTCAAGGACTAAATGAGCTATAGTTGAAGATACCAAGCGGATTTTTTAAGGACCTTCAGAATTATAATCGAAAATTTCTCAAAGAATTTATATTTTCAAGGATCTTCAGAATTATTTTTGTATTTTTTCAATGACCAACAAAGCCGTAATCTTGACTTTTTTAAGAACATTTTTTCCAAGAACCTAGAGGAATATAATCGCTAGTTTTACATTTATTTAATATTTAATTGATATAATACTTTTTCTTGGACCAATGGAATATTCCATTAAGATCTTCAGGCTATAATTTGGGATTTTTAAACAAATTTTCTCATGGATCAAAGGAGCTTTAGTCGTGGAATCTTAAAGGACTTTTCTAAGGGCTTCCGTAGTTACAATCGTGAACTTTTAAAGCTTTCGAGTTTTA